AATGTCACGGGATTGTCTGTACATTTTGTCCCGCACTTTCAATTTGGGAACCACAAAAGCTAGGCGGCTGAAATTTTAGTATGATGTTCCCAGCCAACTTGTGACGCGGCACATATAAATTCAGTCTTCTCGTGCCCACGGGTAACATGTACGGCCCCGTAAAAGTTTTGGCGAATAAAATCAGTATCTCGGGAATTACGGAAGCCAGGAAGCTGAAATTTTATGGGTATACCCCTGACAACGTGCGGCCCAGAAAACTCAAATTTAATCTTCGTGTATCGACGTGTTACAGCCCCATAAAGGTTTCGGTGGGGAGAACTGCGGGGGTTGGAAAAAAAATTATCTCGGGAACTACGGAGGTTGGGAAACTGAAGTTCTGTGGATATGTCATCTGCTTACGTGCGACCCAGAGAAATTAAATTCAACCCTCCCGTACCTGCGGGTAACACGTACGACCTCGTGAAAGTTTTGACGAGTGAAATTATCTCAGGAACCGCGGGAGCCAATATTCTGTGGGTATGCCTCTTGACCACGTGCAACTTAGAAAATTTAAATTCAGCTTTCCCGTGCGCTTGGGTATTGTGTACGGCCCCGTGAAAGTTTTGGTGGAAAATTATCTCGGGGATTACGAAAGCTAGGAAGCTGAAATTTAAGGGCGATATTTTCTGTCGCTGCTGGTACCTAACAAACTCAGATTTAGCTCCTAATTATGCAGATGTCTTACGTAAGACTACGTGGGAATTTTGATATGAAAGTCACTAGCTCAGAAGCCGGAAAACTAGAAGGTTGTAATTTGGAAGGATGTTCCTCATCTGTGTTTTCAAATTCAGCTTTCACAAACCGGCACATGAAATTTTCAGTGGGCAATCCCTCACCTTCGAAGCCAGACAGCATATCTACTATTTTTCCATACACGAAAGTGTAAAAAAGTTATATTTTTAGTAAACAAACGTCTGCTGGACGGAAGCGTGCAAACGCATGATCGCACCGGCTATTCTGGTGCTCTTCGCTATTTATTATGCGTTTTGTGCTGCGTAACAGCAGTACAAAACGCATGTTGTTACGGGGTTGTC